CAACTGGCTCCTCTCGACGTGGAGAAGCAGCGGCTCTACTCTGAGTCCTTCCCGGATGATCGAGCTTCTCACCCTCTCTCTAAGGGAGAGCCCAGATACCCTGCGGAGAAAACTCATTTTGGCCACTTGTATCCAAGATCTCATTCTTTCGGTCACAACCCAAAGCTCATGACCATAGATGAGGGTAGGACCTCCTCCCTGACCCAGAGAGGGCACTCCACCCTTTTCCGGCTCAACACCATGGCCTCGGATTTGGAGGAACTGATCCTCATCCCGGCCACGTCACATTCGGCTGCAAACCGCTCCAGCGAAAGCTGTAGATCACGATCTGATGAAGCCAATAAGACCACATCATCTGCAAAAAGCAGAGACGCAATCCTAAGGCCACCAAAACGGATCCCCTCAACACCTTGGCTGCGCCTAGAAATTCTGTCCATAAAAGTTATGAACAGAATCGGTGACAAAGGGCAACCTTGGCGGAGTCCAACTCTCACCGGGAACAAGCCCGACTTACTGCCGGCGATGCGGACAAGGCTCTGACACCGGTCATACAGGGACCTAACAGCCCATATCAAAGGGCCCGGTACCCCATACTCCCAGAATATCCCCCACAAGGTTCCCCGAGGGACGCGGTCGAACGCCTTCTCCAAGTCCACAAAGCACATGCAGACCAGTTGGGCAAACTCCCACGCACCCGCCACGACCCTGCTGAGAGTGTAGAGCTGGTCCAGTGTTCCACGGCCAGGACGAAAACCGCACTGCTCCTCCTCCTTCTTTGACTCTTTCATTCATTCAACCTTTATTTAGACAGATAAGTCACATTGAGCCTAGAAGACTACGAAAACCCATGAAAGGTTGAATGAATGAATTCTCTGTCATTTGTTCTTCTCAATTTGTATGCTTTCTTTTATGATTGTCCACTGTTGTCATCACTCTTTCTTAAAGTCAGGTCTCTCTTGTAAATGGTCGCCGAGGCTCAATGGGACTAACCTGTATAACTGTCTATTGTTGTCGCTGTTGTCCATTGTTGTCATCATTCTTTGTTGAAATCAGGTCTCTCTTGTAAATGAGTCCTCGAGGCGCAATGGATTTACCTGTCTAAATAAATGTTGAATGAATGAATGAATGAGCCTAGAAGACTCATTTACAAGTGAGATCTGTTTAGACAGACAGAAAGTAGTGAAACTGGACATGTAGGAATTGGAGGCAAAAAAAAAATCCTATCAGACTTTTTTTTTTCCTGCCTGAGAAGAAAAAAACTCTGTTATTGAAAAACACCTCGCACAAACAAGCACATAGTGATGTAGACATTTTGAAGATGGGGGGAGACGACGAGAGCGGTGAGCAATGGACACTCTCGAGGGCACTGTAAGAGTTCTGATAAGGATGGATTAATCAGCCAGTGTCCTCCGGTGAGATCCGTAAACATTCTCGAGGTATGTCGAGGAATGGCCAAGAATAACATCTATGAGAATCCAAGAGTCCTGAAATGATGACAATGTTTATTCAGCTGGTTTCATCTGGTTATCAGTTGGAAATTCCTCAGGGAGAGGGTGGTGAGCGTCAGCTCACATGTTCTCCAGGCGAATTCAGATAAGATGGCCTTCAAGGCCAGCCAAGGGAGCTAAATTCAGATAAACACACAGTTGTTTTGGGGACAGGCAGAACTTAATGCCAACTACCTTGAGTCTGTGTTGGTCCACTCGGTTCCGAAATGTCCAAATCACATGGCCACACCGATGGAACGTGACTGAGTAAAATTCCCGAGATCTGATCCATTCTGCTTAAAGCATTTGAGTCTAGGTACTCGAGGCAAGCAGTGTGATCGGGTCCAAATTTGCCGCTGATGACTTCCTTGATTGTCAAGGCCATATTAACAATTCGCTGTACCCTGGGCAACAATCTTCAAGGGCCCCATCATCACGACCCCAGAATCACCGTAATCTGTCAAAATACAGAATAAATTGCCATAATATACAGTAAATATACTTAAAATTCTAACTATCAAGTGTATTTTGATGTATAAAAATCCAAATGCTCATAGAACTATAAATGCTACTATGTACTCTTGTGGACACAAATCATCAAGACTGAACACGCTTTGAACACCATACGACACCATGTGTACTTGTTTAGCAACGTGTTGGCCACTGGAGTCAGAAGCATTTGTAATGGGGGGGGGGGGGGGGGTTGTCCCCCAGAAAATTTTGAATAAAGTAGATGCCATTTCCTGCATTCTGGTGTATTTTAACGGTTGTTAAACATCTAGTTTTACTTGCACAAGTAAACACTTGATTCAATAACTATTTTAGAGCTACAAGAAGTAGCCTGACCAACAGCTGATTCAATGAATTAAAAATATATTTAAAAGTGACAATTTGATGCCCACATTAAAACTAAATGACTGTAACTTAGTTGACTTCAAATGTAATAAGATTATCAATGGATGTTTGCAACAAAGGATTTACTGATTATAACAAAGAATCCTTCAAGAAACCTCCCAGTATAAATCATAAAACCATGACTTCTGCTCATTCTAAATTTGTCAAATGGTCTAAATCTCCTAAAGTGAAGGAGAATAATTAAAAAATAATAAATAAGATATATCCTGTAGCCATGTTTCTGCAAAGAAGATTTAAATTTGAGGTTGATTTGTGTGTCTTCTGTAAATCAGAAGATGAATCCCTCAAGCATTTTTATTTTTTCATGTCAATACAAAGTGTTTAGTAAGACCAGAAACTGAATTAATCTCAAACTTAACATTCCTTCTTTTCATGCTGATGCCATTTTATTTTATGTGGATAACTTAAGCTCAGCTTTCTCTGATGCCATAAATATAGTCGTACTTATAGCAAAGTATCACATTCACTGTAGTAAGAGGAGAGATAATAAGCCTTCCTTCCTGTTTTATGAACGATTTGAAGTCATAATTTTCTTCATTAAGTAGATTAAAAAACTGCTCACAAAAGATAAAAACTTATTGTTTTAATTAAAACAATAAGTTTCTCATTTATAGTCACGCTCCTTTGTTTTTTATTTATTTAATTTTTTATGTTTATAATTTTTTCTCTTTCATTATTTTGTGAAATGTAGTTATGACAGCCGTCACGAGTTTGTATTTGTATATTGTTGCATTGTTCCATTTTGTGTTAATAAAATTCTAGAAAAAAAAAAAAAAAACCTGATGAGCTTGTAAGCAGGTAAGGGGCGTTTACCTTCGGGACAAATTGAGGTCGTCGATTAGTCAGTTGCTAACACGCCTACTGGACTGATTGACAGGTCGTGCTGTGGAGAATCCGACTTAGTAAAAAAAAAAAAGCGAGAGCTGTAGCAGCTGCACTTGGAGGAGGCGGGGCAGCTCAAATGCAGCGGCAGCGCAGCCGCCTCTCTGCAGCGCAGGGCTCCAAGAGATGACCAGATATTTTGCTTTTACCCTCACCCTGGGCCCCTTAAGAGATTGTGGGCCCCTGGGCAGTTTCCCAGTTGCCTGTATGGTTAATCCGGCCTTGGTGATTGTAGATAAAACCAGCAACCAGCCAATTCCAAAAAGCAGAAACCAGTTATCGTAAATCCAATTAAATATGCATCCTTAAAATCCGCAAATGGCAGCAGATACACATCATCAAGTCTTCCAAGTCGATGAGATATCCAGCTGCGTGCGTGCCAACAGGGCAAATCGGATTGCCTAAAGCCTGTCTTCTCTTCGAAGAAATGTTATCAATTGTGTTGAGGGACCAACTGATCAAATCAAGTCCAAAATTATGGTTCAGAAGATATGTAAGAGAGTCTCACAAGCAGTTTCACAGACAGAGCAGCAAAGCGGAGAGGGAGGGGAAGGGAGAAGCGTCCAATCTCGGCAAGAGCAAGTGGTGAAATGATCTTACTCTACTCTAGCATGATGCTACCACCACCATGCTTCACTGTAGGGATGGTTTTGGCCTGGTGATGAGCTGGTTTCCTCCAAGCATCATGACTGTCATTCACACCATAGAGTTCAATCTTGGTTTCATCAGACCAGAAAATTTAGTTTCTCCTGGTCTGAGAGTCCTTCAGGTGCCTTTTGGCAAACCCTAGATGGGCTGCCATGTTTCTTTTATTAAGGAGTGGCTTTTGTCTGGCCCGCTACCATACAGCTTGATTGGTGAATTACTTCAGAGATGGTTGTCCTTCTGGAAGGTTCTTCTCTCTCCACAGAGGAATGCTGGAATTCTGACAGAGTGACCATCAGGTTCTTGGTCACCTCTCTGTCTAAGGCCCTTCTCCCCAGATCGCTCAGTTTAGATGGCCAGCCAGCTCTAGAAAGAGTCCTGGTAGTTCCAAACTTCTTCCATTTACAAATGACGGAGGCCACTGGGCTTATAGGGACCTTCAAAGAAGCAGAAATGTTTCTGTATCCTTCCCCAGATTTGTTCCTCAACACAATCCTGCCTGGAGGTCTACAGACAATTCCTCCGACTTCATGCTTGGTGTTTGTGCTCTGACATGCTCTGTCAAATGTGGGACCTTCTATACACAGGTGTGTGTCTTCCCAAATCAAGTCCAATCAAATGAATTTACCACAGGTGGACTCCATGTAAGTTGTAGAAACAGCTCAGTGATGATCAGTGAAAACAGCATCTGAGCTCAGTTTGAGCTTCGTGACAAAGGCTGTGAATACTTAATGCGATTTCTTCATTTTCTATTGTTATTAAATAAGCAAAAAAAAAAAAAAAAAAAAAAATTCTCATCGTCATAATAAGGTATTTATTGTGTGTAGAATTTTGAAGAGATTAATTTCATACAATTTGGAATAAGGTGTAACAAAACAAAATGTGGAAGAAGTGAAGCACTGTGAATACTTTCTGGATGAACTGTAAATGAAAACCTGATCAGTATTACCAGTAAATTATCTTCATGGTTCAGTCAGTGACTCGGGGGGAGCATGTCATAGAGTGGTCCTGCGACATGGGACTACTGGACCAAAATATTTTAAACGACCAGTCTGAGTGAAAGTTTCTTACTAAGATTTTGTCAGCTTTGGCCTCACTGATGCCTTTAATGTTGAGCAACTCCTTCTTGGGTGCGTAGGCCACAGCTTCCACGGTGTGAAACCCTGCATCCTCCAGCTTCTTGATGTCACTGGCACTTATTCCACATTGCTGTAAGGAGACACATAAGAACAGAGAGAGTCTGGTGTCATTCACAATGAGACCAAAACAGACCAGTGTAGGCAGAGTAACACATCCTCTCACACTTTGAAAAGCTCTGTGGAACAACTGGGTGAAAACCAAAAAGCTCAAAGTGTCGAAAATCCTCAGGATGGGACGGAGGTCGCTGTATCCCCAGAGGTACGCATGCTGCTGGGCCAACTGACCAGTTCAGCCACTGAATTAAACACATGCAACCTAGGCTAACTAGATGTGACTCTGTGCTGCCATATTGGGAAAATGTACATTTAGCAACATAAGCATGTGTAGACAATACCTAGCCAGGTCCCCTTAGACAGCGCGGAACCACAGAGGCTAGCTCCCGTTAGCGGTCCTCCAGCAGACCCCGAGCAGCCGGGACCCCAGGCCGGCTGAGTGACGGTCCGGAGCAAGCATAGTGCTAAGGCTAAGCCCCCAGTTCACCACCGATCCGTTCACATTTCTAATCGATTTTCCTCGCTCAGTGAAACAGCCGCTGAGAAGCAGACCCTGGTTATTGGCAGCTCTATAGTACGAAACGTGGCTTTAGGGACTCCAGCGGCCATAGTCAAATGCATTCCGGGGGCCAGAGCAGGCGACATAGAATCTTATCTGAAACTGCTGACTAAGGCTAAGGCTAAATACGGTAAGATTGTTATTCACGTCGGCGGTAATGACACCCGGTTACGCCAATCGAAGGTCACTAAAATTAATGTTGCTTCGGTGTGTGACTTTGCTAAAACCCAGTCAGACTCCATAGTTTTCTCTGGCCCCTTCCCCAACCTGACCAGCGATGACATGTTTAGCAGTATGTCGTCGTTTAACCACTGGGTGTCCAGGTGGTGTTCTGATGACATGGGCTACATAGATAACTGGAGTTCTTTCTGGGGAAAACCTGGTCTGATGCGGAGAGATGGCATCCATCTCACTTTGGATGGAGCTGCTCTTCTTTCTAGAAATATGGCAGATTTTTTTCTGACCCGACTGAAAAATGTTGGATTTTATACCTGGATTATTGAGCATGGACTTTGTTGTTGGATTTGTATACCTGGATTATTCACCATGGATTTTGCTGTTTTCAACCAGTTTGACAAGACTGTCAACAAAAGAGGGCCGGCAATGGAGGAGGGGCATATCAAAGAGACCATCTAATCACAAGCAGAACTGGTTTGTTCCACTTTGGAGTAAGCTGTTGGGGGAAGAATCAGTTTTGTTGTGCGTTTCCTTGACTGATGAAGCCTTCCGGATCGAAGGCGAAACATTTCAGCACAAAAAAAAAAAAAAAAAAAAATGTCCAGATGACATGACTGAAAAATGTTGGATTTTATACCTGGATTATTGAGCATGGACTTGGTTGTTTTCAACCAGTTTGACAAGACTGTCAACAAGGAAGAGGGGCGTACCAAACAGACTATCTAATCACAAGCAGAACTGGTTTGTTCCACGTTGGAATAAGCTGTTGGGGGAAGAATCGGTTTTGTTGGGCGTTTCCTTGACTGATGAAGCCTTCCGGATCGAAGACGAAACGTTTCAGCACAACAAAAAAGAAACTGTCCAGATGACATGACTGAAAAATGTTGGATTTTATACCTGGATTCTTGAGCATGGACTTTGTCAACCAGTTTCACAAGACTGTCAACAAAGAAGAGGGCCAGCAATGGAGGAGGGGCATACCAAAGAGACCATCTAATCACAAGCAGAACAGGTTTGTTAAACTTTGGAGTAAGCTGTTGGGGGAAGAATCAGTTTTGTTGTGTGTTTCCTTGACTGATGAAGCCTTCTGGATCAAAGGCGAAACGTTTCAGCACAAAAAAAAAAGAAACTGTCCAAATGACCTGACTAAAAAATGTTGGATCTACGAGTATTCTTGCCTGACCTCATCTGTTAGTCGGCCCATAACCAGAGCAAACAAGAAGGGGCTCAGAGCTGATCCTTGATGCACTCCCACCTCCACCTAGAAGCTATCTGTCACTCCTACAGCACATCTCACCACTGTCCTGCTGTCCTCATGCATGTCCTGTACCAGTCTAACATACTTCTCTGCCACTTGTCTTCACTGATTTTACTCTTTTTCTCTTATTCACAACAGTCATTCCACACGCAACCATCCAATGCTGTCTGGTCATGCTCTCCCATGCCACAACCATACAGTTCCCAATCTCCCTCAGGTTTCCTCTTATACACAGAATGTAATAGAGCTGTGTACTCCTTCCTCCACTCTTACAGGTCACTCTATGTTCCTCCCTCTTTTGGAAATAGGTGTTGACTACAGCCAATTAAATTCTCTTGGCAAAATCCACCACCATCTGTTCTTCCTGGTTTCTTTTCTTGACACCAAACACACCCATCACTTCCCCATCACCTCTGTTTCCTTCACCAACATGTCCATTCAAGTCTGCTCCGATCACCGCTCTCTCCTCCCTGGGATTACTCTCTATCACATCATCCTGATCCTTCCAAAATGTATCTTTCTCCTCCACATCACATCCAACCTGTGACGTAATCACTGACATTTAGCATCAGACCTTCTACTTCTATCTTCAGGCACATCACCCTATCTGACACTCTCTTCACCTCTAGAACGTTCTTTGCCAACTCCTCCTTCAGGACCACACCTACTCCATTTCTCTTTCTATCCACACCATGGTAAAACAGTTTGAACCCTGCTCCAATGCTGCGAGCCTTGCTGCCCTTTCACTTGGTCTCTTGGACACACAAAACATCTACCTTATGATTAACAGTAGAAGAATTTTCACCGGCACCCTGTTTGTAAACAGCACCAGTGGCGGTTGTTGTTAACTCAAGCCTCAACCGATCCAGTATGTTTTCATTTGATGAACTCTCATTATAGTTATGGCAAAAGTGTTTTAAGTCGATGTCAAATAAATAAACTGAATTATGTCCTTCCTGACACAACCCTCACCTTTTACTTGGGCTTGGGATGGGCACAAGAGATACACTGGTTTGTGCTCCCTAGTGACTGGTTTGGTTGTTTACCTTTTAAATATTAATAAAATAAAAATGTTTGAGCTAGACCAAATAATCTGAGACTGTGTGCACATGTCGAGTACTGTTCTTGATGAATGTTCATGCAAAAGCATACTAGGGTCAATCAGAAGAAAGAAAAAAACGTGATTTGTTTTCTGTAATTTTAAGAGTAAAGTAGAAAGGTCAGAATATAAACAATATTCAATCAGGTTATATGGACGGTTTATTTTTTGTGCTGAGACGTTTCGTCCTACATCCAAAGGACTTCTTCAGTCTGAAGAGCCACAAACAGAGTCCCACAAATAGCACACTCCCATAGTGGGAAGGAAAAAAACAACAACATTTTGCTGGTGATAAGTTTGTGGGACTCAGTTTGTTTGTGGCTCCTCAGATTGAAGAAATCCTTTGGATGAAGGACGAAATGTCTCAGCAGAAAAAGAAACCGTCCAATTGACCTGACTGAACATTGTTGGATTTTTACCTGGATTATTGAGCATGAACTTTGGTGTCAGAATATAAATTTTATTCATGAAAAAATAGTTGCAATGTTGGAAAAACATTTTTTTTTTTTACCTAAACCAGCGTGACCCGATGTGACCCATTCATTAAATTTGTTATTGCATTTGATGGTTAGATGGCACTTTTACCAGGTTAACTAAAAAGTAACGTGCAGTATTTTAGCTGAAGCTGTTTGAGATGTGTTTCTCCTGTAAATGTGTTGATGCTTATTATCTGCTTTAGTGTGTGATAAACACAAAGTGTTCACAAAGAGGGAATTTTAGATGCACCTCTGTAAGTTTAGATCGAAACAACTAATAGTGGGTGGCTGTGGTTAGAACAGTCGTCCTCTAATGTTGGGGGTTTGAATCCACCAGCAGTCACATGTTGAAGTGTCCCTGGGCAAGACACTGAACCCCTCATTGCCTCCAATGTGTGTCCCATCGGTGTATGAATGTGATAAAGCACTGATTAGTCTCTTTAGAATGATTTGTTCAATTAGGTTTGTATCTAGCAGAGTGCTGTATGAATGGGTAAATGAGCACAGATTGTAGTGTAAAGCGCTTTGAGTATAATGATATGATAGAAAGGCACTATATAATTACAGTCTATTTATATTTATCTATTTAATATAGATGGTTGTTGTGAATGCAGAATAAGTGAAGCTGGAAGACTGCAGACAGGACACAAACCTCCAGTCTGGACAGAAGCTGTGGGCCATAATTCTCCTCCTCCACCTCTGCAGCTTCACCTCTCACTTCACTTCTCATCGCCATCCCTACAAGATCTTCCAGTCAGACATGAGATAAAAACAGACTGATCACACACATCGCTCATATCCAAGTTAAACACTAGCTAACCTGCTAGTCTTCCAATTAAAAAACACCTTTTTCACGTGATAAACACGTCTTTCACTTATATCTGTAAATGTAAACATGAGAAAACGTATTTTGAATAAAATCTTGATGATTTTGACAGTGGTCTTACTTACAGCCGTGATCCTGTTCGTCTCATAAACGTTAGCTAACTTGTTAGCTTAGACTAGTTAGCGCTGTTTTCTTTGCGCTGTCAGTTGTTGAAGGTGTAAATGTGCGCTGAACCGCCGCCTAAACACCTGCGGGACAAGATTTAAAAACTACAAACTAGTTTCTACAGGTTTCATGTAAATACCTACTACTTTCTCCGGCTTCTTGCAGATCCCTTAAAGCTCCCGCGCGTACTCACTGAAAGACCAATGGAAACGTGGTGACGTCATCACGCACACGTCTCCCGGAGTTGAAACAGGAAATCCAGCAGTTTCTTTTCAAATTAAAAGCTCGGGAATGCTCAATGACAAAAAAAAAACTAAATAAATATTCTCCAAATTAATAGTGACATTTAGGAGTAAGATTATAAAATATTTCAGTAAAAACGAAGTGAAAATGTAGCATTCCAAAAAACAATACCATAGCAATCAGGCATGATTCCAACTGTGAATGCAAATGTCAACGTTGCATACAATGTTGCAAAATACTATCTGAAGTGACTCAGCTGCTACAAAACATTTGCTCAACGTCTTGGAAATATGTTTGCTTGGTTGTGGCAGCCATCTTGAACTGGATTAACTCTTTTCTACAAGTCTTTTGAATTATACATTTGAATTATAAATTTTATAATCCCTAATCAGGATTATCACTGTGAAAAATAATGTAATGCCACTTTGTTGATATGTGCTGCTGATTATTTCATGCTGCTGTATTCATTCATTCATTCGTACTCATCTGCTCACACAGACTCATGCTCATGCTGCTGTTGTTCGGCGTATGGTTTTGCACTATTAGTGATTAGCGTATCTTTGATCTTTTAGCGTACCGTTTGACGTTCATTTAGCGTAGTTCTTAGTTTATATCTTAGATCCTTAATACCGTTTCTTTTACAATTTATATTTTTGCTGTTAGATGTAACTGGGACCCTGTGCACACAATTTCGTTCCATCTCATGTACCACAGGTGATGCGAATGACAATAAAGAACCTTGAATCTTATTATATTCATCTATACTATAATAAATCTAATAAAAGTTATTCAGATGCAGATGTCAAGCCAATGAGTGTTTTCTAAAAGTTTCATTTAAATTCCACTGAGTGATTCATGTGATATTTTACTGACAGTACAGACAAACGCACATCATGGCCCCGCCACCTTTGGCGGCAGTAGATAAAGAGCTGTTAAGTTTAAATACAGAAGGTTTACTTGTTTCTTTATTTACACAGTTCAGACACAGGTGATAACATAATGTACGACATCAGGAGATATTCCTGCAATATTTTTGTTTCTGGAGCTGAGACTGATGTCCCCACCGGTGAGCCAAAATCTGGATCCATGAGAGTCCACCTGGAACTCTAATCCTCATTCTGATAAATAATCTGTAGGATTATAACTACTAGCACAACACAAACATTACACAGCTAAACTGAGGAGAATGATGAGGGCATTAAAAAGGCATGCTTTGTGTTCAATTGTTCCCTTTAGCTTCAGACGTTCTTCATAGAAACGTTTGATTAAATAAACAATACAAACAATAAACAACAAACTGAAAAGGTGTGATTTTCATTTGAGAGCAACGTTCACTGTAAATCCATGAGCAGCGTTACATTAAAAACAAAAACTACATATTCAGCACTGAACTTGGGAGAGTTTCAGTGACAAACACATCCACCAGTGAAGGAACACATCACTTCCTGTCAGCTTCATGAAACTGGTCATGCTGGTCTGTCAGTCAGAACCTGAAGCTCAGCCTCCAGTTTACTCACGTCTTCATCCTGAAGATGAGAACAGAGAAAAGTTAATTAAGTCTGTGATGAAAACAAATCTAACAGAGGGCTGCAAAAGTTTTGAATATATATACAATCATAAAAAATGTGGTCAGTGGTCTCAGCAAGTTCGTTACAAAATGAACAATTAGTACATTCAAAGCCAAACATTTACATAGAAAATCAGCAGAGGGATATATTTTGTTAATAATTTTGAATCTCTTTCGCTTTGGGAGCGACAGGGAATTTATAAAAATTTGATCTTAAGTGTTCAGCATCTTTTCTGGAGAAGGAATTTAGAGTTGTCTAAAAAAGTTAAATCTGGTCCTCTGGACATTCAAAAAAAACCAAAACAAAGCAAAACAACAAAAAATGTAGAAACGTTTC